ATAAGCCAAGAAATACGGTAGTTGACATGAGTCTTTACAATAGCTACTGTATGTTCAGTGTAAACACGATCAAGAAAATATCATTCCGTGTGTTTTGCCGTAGTGTTGAACAGTTATTAGAAAGATATGGTACACTGTATTCACAACAGCCAGGTCGACGAGTACAAGCTACTCGCAGTCATGGTCGGCTTAGCACAGCAGCATGGATCACACATCACTACCTCATTTCTCTACCACTTATGCAAACAAGGAGGGTAGGTCAACATAGGTGTGAGGTGTGTGCTCATACAACATGGCAGCCAGCCAGGCAGAAGTATGTATCAACCTGGTGCCAAGAATGCCAAGTAGCATTGTGTGCTGGTGAATGCTACCATAATTATCAGTTTGAAGAAATACTAAAGTGATGAGAACTACAATAATATTATGTCTTTAGTTTATTTCAGATGAGCTCATGTTTATTTTACCAATTGAAGAGAATTTCTGTTTATTTGCAAGGAAAGTAAGTTTGTGATTTACAAATGTGGATTAGGCCTACTGGGGATACCACAATAAAAAATGCAGTTTGTGATCTACCGCAGTTTGTGATTTACCTCTCAGGTGCTGTGGAAGGAATCACTCTCTACAGTATGTACATGCTGTATTTATCTCTGATATGTGTGTGTGTTTGGTGTGCGTGTGTGTGTTGTATATGTCTATGTCTCCATGTCTGATGTGTGTTGTATAGTGTGCATATGTATTTGCATGTGTCTGTGTGTATGTGTAGTGTGCATATGTATTTGCACATGTCTGTTTTTGTGTAAATGTGTGAATCAGTGCCTGTGAGTGTGTCTGTGTGATGTGTGCTTGATAAACACAAGTTTTAACTCATTACCTGCAATGTTTAGTTGCAAAATGTGCTTGTGAATGTTACAGAGAATATCATAGTATGAATAGTGAAGAATATAGAAATAAAATATTAATGAGAGAATGTTCATTTGTTTTTTCATAAGGCAACTCTCATGTTATAATATTCTATTCTGTTTAGTTTGTCCTGAAAATTTAAATTTAAATCAAAGTAAGTGTGGATTAGGCCTATTGTAGATACTACAATAAAAAAAATTAATTGGTTTTCTACCCTCTGGGTGTTTGTGGAAAAGATTACAAAATGGGTGATGTGTAGCGCGGCAGCCATTACTGCTAGATCCCGCAACATTGTTACATTCGATGAAGTCACGGCCTAATTTTACTGCCTTTTTATACTCAAAGGAGAGTGAGAGGGAGATTCTTATTGTGATTTTTGCAAACTATACAACAAATCCAAGTGAATGATATATACAACAAATCCAAGTGATTGATATATACAACAAATCCAAGTGAATGATATATACAACAAATCCAAGTGAATGACATATACAGTACAACAAATCCAAGTGAATGATATATACAACAAATCCAAGTGAATGATATATAGTATATCAATTCCATTAGATTTTTTAAATTTACTAAATTAGCCCGTATGTGAGGGGCACTGAAAATTCTCCAACCCCGACATTTGAGGGTTAAGTAAGCAAAAATATATTTTTAATTCTGGAGTTGTGTTAGATAGAATTTAGCCTACTGGAGACAGCAATGGGGGGATTCATTAGCTTGCAGGAGACCTCAACTTCACATACAGTATAGGATGCAGGCTGTTTTTTTAGTCATTTTTCAGACAAAAAAGTGCATCTTATATGCTGAAAAATACTTTCTCCTTAAAACATCGAGTTTAATGTCCAACGTAATTCCTTTATGGAATCTTTTATCACCACTGCTTTCAGTTGAACTTAATTGTCTTTTCCCACTCCCCATGAATGAGGGTACACAGTAACACAGTCCTGAACACAGATGCATAACCGAACACAAGCTGGGAATGAATGCAAACTGAGCAGCACCGTTATTGTTGTGGGTCCTCAATTTCAAAGTTTTGGTGAATTTCATTGTTATATATCATGATTTTTTTTTAATTTTACCAAAATTCCATAGGGACGAATTTTAGGGTCATAATTTCAAAATTCCGTAACGCAGGACATGTCTGTACACCTGAGGTTAGAACAATGAAGCACCAAAAAGAAGTGCCTTTTTGAACCTATAGATAGTACACCTTGTATAAGGGGGGGGGGGGTAGAGGAGGCAGTGAAAGAGGGGGTGAATAGAGGCTTGTGTTTAGAAGGATGTAATGAAATCATCATATCCTGATAATACAGTAGTGTGTAAGAGTGAGTTTTCTCAGGTTGAATTCCAGTCATGCCCTTTTGGTTCCAATTACAGGTGCACCATGATAACCGACGCATATAGGGACTGGGAAAAGTCGTTGGTTAGTGAATCAACAGTTATCGAAGCAATTAATCCCATAATAGCTTAACAAATTCAGGGTGTCAGCAACTATCCACCTTCCCAAAACTGCCATTTACCTTTGATATATCTCTGTACTACACACTGCCATGCAAGAAAATAAAGCAAGCATATGAAGCCTTAAATAGGCAATGTAAAGCATAAAATGAGACTATTTACCTGTGGTGAGGAAGGTAGAGACAGTCTATGGTGGCAAATTCAAATCTCTACCACTCTTTGCTGGTCTATCACCATTCTTAGAATGGCTTATTATGCATTATCACATCAAGTTGCCCAGCACAAGAGGAACTACAGTATCACTGGGGCATTTAGACATGATTGAGTTACACACTAAGTCGGAAATAAGGAAAAAACACGAAGTTAGAGACACATAAGAAGTGCAAACAAGAGCAAAGATGGTAGGAATGAGACAGGGCAGCGCGCAGAGCCCTCCGGTGGCAAAAATTCGCACCATGCCACTGCCCACCAAATTCGAAACAGCTCTGACGATCGCTGGATCACCGGGGTATTTCCCCTAATGTAATCGTCGTTATGTGAGCAGGCGGTCAACGGGACAACGGTTTTCGGGATACACCTGAACTATTTCTAAATTGTCTGACTTAATTTTCATTTTAGTTGTGGGTAAATGGTGCCAGCCATCAGACATGGGGTAATAGTAATAAATAATAGACTATTACAGGGTTTTTGAATTATAGAAATGCAGTATGCTTCCCAAGTTCGCGGATTTGTACTACGCGGTTCTCGGTTATTTGCGGGTCAGGGAGCTATTCATTCTAGAGACAGTAATTTCCTTTACCTGTATTGTAAGTACAGTGGTCCCTCGGTTAAAGAACACAATTCGCTCCAGAAGGTCGTTCGTTAACCGAAAATTTCGTTAACCGAAACCATTGTTTCAATGGGATTTTGAGAAATTGGTTCCAGCTCACTGAAATATACATAAAGTAAAAAAATGCAGTAAAGTACACTTACTTTGAGGTGTGTATGTAGAAGGCTCCTGGTTGATGATGATGATGGGAATTAGAAGTGGGGGTGGAGGAGAAGGGAGAAGAGAAGGAAGCGGAAGAGAAATCATCCCATGCTTCATGCCGTCATTTCACCCATAAAATTTTAAGTTCACTAGGTGTAATTCAAGATTATTTTCTTTAAATCGACACTACACTGCACTATATATTGTCAATATGTTAAATAAATTTCAGAATGACCAATAATTGTACTGTAAATATGTAAAAATACTTTATGTTCAAGAGAGCCACAAGCAAGATGTTACCTCCACTGACCATAGACGCAAACTGACGCCTCGGTGGGTGAGTCAAGTGGCTGATTGGCGCACCAAAAACTAGTTACCTGTACTGCAATTATGTTAAATAAGTGTTAAAATTACTAAAAAATTTAATATAAAACTTGGAAAATTATTGAATAGTACAACCTTCTTGATATTTACTCAAATGGGAACAAATTTAAGCCCTAGAACCGATTACTGTATTGGCAGACTAATATTCCAGCTGGTGAGCAAACGAAAACATGTTGACATGATTTCGTAAGAACTTCGTTAACCGAATTGAAGATTCTTATGGAAGGCAATTCGTTAACCGAAATTTCGTCAACCAAGGTGTTCGTTAACCGAGGGATCACTGTATGTATGTGTGTGTGTGTGTGTGTGTGTGTGTAGACACACACACACACACACACACAAAACACATACAAATAAATAATAATGGGAAAATCCTCTTACAAATAATCAGAAATTTTTTTATTAAAAATGCGAGTCTACCCCCAATTCCGTGCTCTATTACAGTACTTTATAAATAGAGCACAGACTTGAGAGTAGACTGTTACACTTTTAATAAAATTGTTTCCGATTACTTGTGAGGGGATTTTTCAATTATTATTTATTTGTGTGTGTGTGTGTGTGTTTGTGTACACACACACATACACACAATACTACATGTAAAAGAAATAACTGTCCTAAGGACAAACACATAAAGGGAATATACATTTCTTTGAACACGTAAAAATGCACCCCCTCCCCCGGTCCACAAATGTTATTCGCAGATTTGGCAAAGCACGGCCATTTTGTGAACCTAACCCCCGCGAATATGGGGGCCCCCCTGTGCTGTACATCAAAATTTTTGGCTGTAGTAGTAATAGAAAGCTAAGTAATAGAAAATAGTATATTACTCTTCTATTAGTGACACTTCTTTAACTTTTAGGTTGTCAAAAATTCTCATGATTACTGATAAACAGTTTCTTTTGACAAGGGAATAACAAAAACTAAACATAACATGCTTGTTTGTAACACCAACAATCCATGAGTATCAGTATTATTTCATCACTCACAAGAATATCTTACTGCAAAATGTAAATAAAATAGGAACAGACTGATGATTATGCAAGAAAAATACTATCTGGTAACCATAGTTCCTGCAGCCCCAGGCTCCATGTGTAATGACTGGCTGTGTGTTCGTGACCACAAGTAATCGCAATAGTTGAGCAAGTACTATAATAGATGACAACTGAAGTAATAATAATAATAGTAATAAAATAAATTACAAGTAATAGTAAAAGAAACCCAGTAATAGACCCCATGTAGGACCGCCATTCTGCTCTTACAGAAAACAATTTTCTCTTACCTTAACTACTTCAGACGTTTGGACTCCAGACCCAAGAATTTTGCATATCCGAACATTGTCAACATTGAAAGTGGTTTTCTCTGGAAGAATAGAGATACAGGCACGAGCCACAAGTTTTGCCAAAAAATCTTCATTGCCAAACTGCTTGCTCATTATTGTCGAACGAAGAGCTTTTGTTACCTGTAATGACAACAAAATACTGTATTAAGAATTCTCAAAAGAACCAAAGGTTTCTTTGCTAAGAAGGGACGTGTAATATCTCAGAAACAACAAAATATTTTTATTCAAACTTCCTCATTCACTGTTTTTATAATAAAAAATACAGTATACTCTTAAATCCCCCCCCCCCTTTTTCAAGTAATGGTAAGAAACACTGTAGTTTTGGGGATTTTAACAAGCAAATTAGCATATCCACAACCACTACCAAAATCTATTTGAAATCACTAAAATGGAAATCTGACTAAGATATGACATTTTATTCCAGATGTTTCATCACAAGATTATTAAAAGAGTAATGTGTCCTATGCACATACTGTACACTTATTACAAGAAAAAATTTTTATCTTAGCGCTGTAACCATCACACTTACTTGATCTAAGTCACGTGGATCAGATACTTCCCAACACTTTAAACTGGGTAAAACTTCAAGAGCTTTATTCAGAGCTAGCTGGTATCCCTCAGCCAAGTCTGTGGGGGTGAGACCCATGCGGAGAAGATCCTCAGCAGCTTCTAGAAGGGCACCGGCAAACATAATCACCCAATTGGTGCCATCACCCATTTCCTGTTCCTGCATCTGGGATGCTAGAACCATTAACTTGGCTGCTGGATGCTCAATCTGGAAAGAAAGAAAAATCAAAACATATTATGTAGTTCTTAATATGAAAGTTTTATCATCAATAATTTTAATCCATAAACACTCAATTAACGGGATTCCTATTCAAATCCAAATACTGTAGCTGGTAAAAAAAAAAAAAAAAAAGTGGTGAATTTAGCACCAACCACACAGTTATGTTCTCACCTCCAGCTCCTTGATGATGGTGGCAGCATCATTAGTCACAAATAGTTTCTCTAAATGATTGATGACCATCTTATTCCGACCCTGAGGCCCATATGCGGTTTTCAGGGTTTTGCTAAACTCCTTGCAAGCAGCGATGTTACGAAATACAGCCTCCTCCAGTCCAGAATAGTGCTGAAATAAAATATAACAAGGTATAATTTGTTATTCCCATTATCTTGAATAAACATAGTCAAGTGCACTTCCAGTTAGTACTAAACCCCTGTATTACAGTATACAATTTACAGGTACATGATATAAAGAAGATCCAACATGTACAGTGGGGTATGCTATAACGAATCTAATTGGTTCTAGAACCTTGTTCGTTATAGCATTCGTTCGTTATAGGATTAATCCGTTCCAGGCCCCCAAATACAACCACTTAACACTGAAAAATATAATATAAAATTGTAAAAAAGTGCATAAAGATGCATCTACCGGTAAACCCCTGAAATAAAGAATATCATTAATATTTGTAATAAAAAAACAATAAATTAGAAAAAAAAAAAAAAATTAAATAATGTTCGTTGTAGGAGTTTCGTTCGTTATAGCATTCTCAATTTTATAGGTAAAACCGTTCGTTATAGGAATATTCGTAGTAGAATCCGTTCGTTATAGCATACCCCACTGTATTATGAAATCACCATTAGATAGGGTTAGGTTGTACAATAAAATATAACCTTATCTGGAATAAATCATTATAGCTGTACAGTACATTATTGTAGCAGTTGTCTGACATGTTCATGTGTAAGGAATGTTATTTGGGAAGTATTTGCAAACACCACGTCAAGCCCCAAAAATGGCAGCAGGTATACGTGGCAGTTGAAGGCAAATACCCATTTAGAAGGAAAAATACAGTACCAGTATTTGTCGGAAGCTGGATATTTAGATGAGTAAGCGCAGTCAAGTATATTACTAAAAGGAGTTTTCTCAACAATAAAAGGTGGTAAGCATTAATACTGAATACAGTATAAATATTCAACTAAGTGTTATCCATTTACAGGAAGAGCTCTTATAACAGAGCCTCAAGTGACATATTTTCACTTAATATCAGAAAAATAAATATTCACTCAATAAATATAACATAAGTACTGTACTATACTTTGTACCATTAAAAATAATTAAACATAAAAGAACTAACATTTATATCTGCGACCATCTATGTCAACATCCTCTCAGCCAAACAGTGCTCATTTAATCAATAGAGTAGTACCCCGATTTACGCGGTCAATTGAACCCACAGGGTACCGCGTAAAGTGAACAACAGAACATATGGGATTAATTCCAATAGAGACTGGCCCGACCCCCAAACTCCACTTTTTCCGACACAATACCTATGTTGTAGTAAAAATAACATCAAAATTTTATGATGGTATGCTCACACAATTAATATTTAAGAGAAATACAGTCGCCAGGTTAATGTCCATTCAAATAATGGACTCAAATCCCCCCCCCCCTCTTCCCAGCTCACTGGCCCCTACCTCTCTGAGAAATGTTTGGGTGAAAACACTAGATTTTAACGTTTAGTAATAAATAATACCTCAGACTAAAGTTAGGATAATATAATTGACATTTCTGGATTCCTTGCAGGTCAGGGAATATTTTGAATGTAAACTTCATATATTTTGCACAAAAGATAAAATATTTGCTTTGTGTAAACCAAATTATTACATAAGATCTAAAATTTGTATGTCTAATGCAAAATCCATGATGTTTATATTCAAAATGATCATCATATTGTAAGAATTCCAGCAATGTAAAATATATTCTGACCGAGTAATTTGTATGAATTTTATGAGCTAACACAAATATCTTCAGGTAATAAAAAACAAAATATTCTTCACGACACTATCTGTCAATCAAAGTACCCCACCTTGCCTCCCCCATCCTCACACTCACGCCAGCTGGGTCGGTCGGTCCCAACCCTCCCCCCCCCCCCCCCACCTTCCCTCCCTACCAGAGAAATGTTTGGGTGAAAAAACTAGATTTTAACTTTTAGTAATAAATAATACCTCAGACTAAAGTTAGGATAATATAATTGACATTTCTGAATTCCTTGCAGGCCAGGGAATATTTTGAATGTAAACTTCATATATTTTGCACAAACGATAAAATAATTGCTTTGTGTAAACCAAATTATTACATTAGATCTAAAAATTTGTATGTCTAATGCAAAATCCATGATGTTTATATTCAAAATGATCATCATATTGTAAGAATTCCAGCAATGTAAATTATATTCTGGCAGGGTAATTTGTATGAATTTTATGAGCTAAATAAAAAAAAATAAATAAAAAAATTATACTTCACCACATATATGAGTAGATGCACCACGGAAAGTGAAAATCAGGTTCTGGCAAGGTACCGTGTAAATGAGAAATCACGGAAAGTGAAACCGTGTAAAGCGGGGTAATACTGTGTTGTACATGCCACCAGCCAAAAGTCATGGCAGTTCTATCTCTTGTCTGTTATAAGTGAAAATTTTTGGATCATCACATCTATAAATAAAAAGCCCGTATGTGAGTGTCGGTAAAGTAGTCAGGGTTATTAGTATGGAAATGAAAATACAAATGATACAGATAGAAGAGTAATGTATAGAGTATATACACAATAGGAGTGAGGCAGCGGTGGTAACAACTTGGTAAGCTCCGATAAATTTAACTGGCGAGCAGTGACTAAATATAGTTTCGGTTATTATTCATGCTAACAATGCCTTCATTTTATCAGTTAACCATCTCATTGTGATTGCCACACCATATGTGGTAAACAACACCAGTGTGATCCTGCTTCATATTCCCATAGAATCATCCCATTTGATCAGCTGGCATGTAGGGAGGCAGCCACAAATTATACCTAAGTCTGCCAGTGTCTTCTCAACTCATGGCAGAGAGGAGTCCTGCATTCAAGTCAGTTTACACGAGTACCACTAATTCCCTACCCTGCTTCAGGTAATTCCCCGACTATAACAATGTTAGGTAATATGACCTGACTGATGACGACCTCTTTGTGTATAAGGATGCAGTCAGATACTGGTATTCATTTAAAAAATTCTGTTAACACCATACGACCATATTGAAAGGTCAAATAATTATTTAAAAAATCAAATTTTCCTTCAAACTGGGTACAACTATCTACTGTACTTGGGATTCACATGAAAAGGGTTAAAATACCATAAAATTAGAAAGCCATTATCATTACCCAAGTAAGCTGGCCTGTAGTGTTTGTAGAGACAGAATTGATACTCAGAATTGATATTTAAAAGGCATCATGTTTTTGTTCACGAGGTCGCCCGTGTACTATGTTTGTATGTATGGTAGCGTTTGACAGAGTACCGCATCGGAGGCTTCTGAGAAAAGTTAAGGCTCAAGGTATCGAGGGGAAAGTTTTAAATTGGATAAAATCATGGCTTACCGATAGAACACAGAGGGTCAGAATAGATGGTGTTAAATCTGAGTGGGGCTGTGTAACCAGTGGTGTTCCCCAGGGGTCGGTACTAGGCCCACTCTTGTTCATAATCTACATAAACGATCTAGATACTGGGATCAGCAGTGACATAAGCAAGTTTGCGGATGAAACCAAAATAGGGCGGCAGATTGATTCAGGGCAGGATGCAAATGCACTACAGGAGGATTTAAATAAACTGCAGGAGTGGTTAGAAAAATGGCAAATGAAATTCAACACCAGCAAGTGCAGCGTACTTAATATTGGAAGAACAAATACTGTCAATATATACAGCCTTAACAACATCAACCTAGAGAAGTAATAAGTAAGTATTAAGAGTGAAGAGGTCTTATTGCAACTATATCTTGCGCTAATCAGGCTGCACCTCGATTATGCGGTTCAGTTCTGGTGCCCTTATTATAGAATGGATATCAATTCACTGGAGTCGGTGCAGCGAAGAATGACGAAAATGTTTCCGGGACTTAGAAACCTTCCATATCAAGATAGGTTAAAGAAGCTAAACTTACATAAGAACATAAGAATGGAGGAAACTGCAGCAGGCCTATTGGCCCATACTGGGCAGTCCCATTTACACCCTATCCCTATTGCTCAAATATCCATCCAACCTATGTTTGAAGCTATCCATCGTATTCGAGTTAATAATGTTTGGAAACTTGTTCCATTCATCCACTACTCTACTTCCAAACCAATGTTTACCTATTTCGATCCTAAATCTTAATTTTTCTAATTTAAAACCATTGTTACGAGTTCGCTCCTGGTTGGATAGTTTGAGAACCTTTGTTATGTCCCCTTTGTTTAGCCCTGACTTCCATTTATACGCCTCTATCATATCGCCCCTCACTCTACGTCTCTCGAGGGAGTGCAAATTAAGATACTTTAACCTGTCTCTATACTCAAGGTTCCTAATGCCCGGGATTAGTCTTGTCATTCTCCTTTGAATTCTTTCTAGGGATTCTATATCCATTCTGTAATACGGTGACCAGAATTGAACTGCGTAATCCAAGTGAGGTCTCACAAGCACAAGATATAGTTTCAGGATAACCTCTTTAGTCTTGTAACTAACACTCCTTTGTATGAACTCAAGTACTTTATTAGCCTTGTTTCGAGCAAATACACATTGTTTACTTGGCTTAAGATTCCTACTTATCATTACTGTACTCCTAAATGTTTCTCACATTCAGATTTCTCTATAACATCGTTGTTCATCTGTATATCTGGTTTCTCTGTTTACATATCCTAGACTAAGTACTTTACATTTGTCCACATTGAATTTCATCTGTCATATTTCAGACCAATAGAAAATTTTTTTTTAGATCTGTAGTTTTGCGGAGTCTTCGTCGGATTTAATTACACGCCCCATTTTAGTGTCATCAGCAAATTTACTTATGTTGCTGTCTACACCAATATCTATGTTGTTTATGTATATAATAAATAATAATGGTCCACGTACTGAGCCTTGGGGTACTCCACTTGTGACGTTACTCCAATCGGATTTAGTGCCATTAATGCTCACTCGCTGTTTTCTGTCCTGTAACCACACTAATCCATTTTAGAATATCTCCTCTAATGCCATGAGCCTCCACTTTTCTTATTAGTCTTTCGTGGGGGACTCTGTCGAAGGCTTTACTAAAGTCAAGATATACCACATCATAGTCGTGCCCCTCGTCAACTGA